TAGAAAACGAAGACCCCCCTCAAAATCACTCGGAAACAGCTGGAAACTGCTTTTAACGACTCCTAGACATCAAAGGAGTGTAAAAAACAACACGGCTCCTGACGATTTTCAATTATACAGAATTTCGACCAAGGTCTTCGTTTTCTAAACATCCCCCCCGGTGTGTAGAAAACGATGACCCCCCTCAAATTCACTCGGAAACAGCTGGAAACTGCTTTTAACGACTCCAAAGGCATCAAAGGAGTGTAAAACACAATACGGCCCCTGACGATTTCAATTATAAAAAAATTTCGACTAGGGTCTTTATCTGAGGTTTCTTCGGAATCATCTTTTGCTGTAAAGCGTTCATAACAGTAAATAACCATGTCACTGAGAGATCCTAGAGCTGTCGAGGGGTTAAATGCCCAGCCTTGTTTCTATCAAAGTCAACAATTTTTATCTTTAAGCAACCACAACAACAGCGTGCTCAACAACAACGTTAACAAAACATGAACAAACAATTGAGAATCCCTCACTCATGTATCTACCGTGGAACCTCGATGTAACCAACCTCTATATAAAAGACCAAATTCTTTTTCTCAGCAAAAAAGGTACAGTAAAATCTTGATTTAACCATCCTCCTTTTAACGAATTCCTCGTTATAATTCAGGGGCACCCAATGACTCTTTTCTGAGAAATGCTCTGAAATGCCTCTTTATGCTTCCGGGAGTACTTTAAAAGCAATCATAAATGAATTATTCGAATTCGCATTGCTAGAAAAATTTGATCTGTGGTCTTCCTAGGAGTGGTTTGAGCCTCTCGAATTTTTTAGGGATGTTGTTCGCCTTTCCCGAAAATAAGAGCCGACAATACTTTACACTCCTTTGATGTCTAGGAGTCTTTAAAAGCATTTCCAGCCGTTTCCGAGTGCTTTTGAGGGGAGTCTTCGTTTTCTACACACCGGGGGGGGGATGTGTAGAAAACGAAGACCCTGGTCGAAATTCTTTATAATTGAAGATCTTGTCTTCTTGACACATCTGAGGCCGAGATACCCGTCTCTAGATGTTTATGAGTGATTTTGAGGGGGGTCTTCGTTTTTGGATCTTAGGTCTTAGGTCTTCGTTTTCTACACACCCGTGTTTGACGACCAAAAGCATGACTCATTCGTTCAGACAGATGACGAAGTAGAGACTTTTACAGAGTACACTATATACAAGCTATTGAGCTTAAATTTAGGTAAACTAACAGTGACATGTGTTGTCTATCCACAATCATGATATTGATTTTTCACCCAGGTAACGCAGACTAGAATAGACTGGACTTGATCAGTGATAACACCATCTTATTCAAAAACCTCCGCTTTCATGCGTCTAAAAATTCCACTTTGAAACGGATTTGAAATCCCTCGTCTTAGATGCCTGAAAACGCCAGGTAAATGTGAAAGGAAGGCTCCAAAATGAGGCAAAAAAAAAAAACTCCGTTTTCCAAAAATTTTCACAAGGGAGCGAGTGAAAATTGTTAAAATTTATATTCTCATTGTTTATCTTGAGGTCCTTCGAAGTAAACTAAAAATAAATGCAGCTATTTTTTCATAGGCAACAAACATCAAAGCTGCAGTCGCAACAGTTTGAAGCAACTTAGCTTCTAGTCCTTTATAAAGTCCTTTAAAGCCTTGGTCCCTGAAAAACAAAGTCACACTTAACAACTAGTTGTTACTGAACGTTGTAACCACAAACAAGTACTGCTTTGTAACAGCCTTCACAACTGGAACAAGTGAAGTCAAAACACAATATCATACCTCACAAGTCTTGCCAGAAGAGACAGGATGTCTGCTTTTCCACTTGGCGTTTTGAATCCAGACTGAAAAAAACATAAGTCTCTTCAAATTACATAAATGAAAACGTAGAAAAATGGTAAAACATTTCAGTCCATTCAATAATGTGTCAAGGAATAATACGTATAAGATTGCTGCTGGTCTCTTGGCTTCAACGACGATGCAAGCAAATGGACCCCGCTTTGTTTCTGTTCAACGTGTGTGGGCTCCCTAAGCAGCTCCCCTAAAAACTTCCCACAAAAACACCACACTACACACAACAACTTACCCGCTGCTTGCACTGAGCCACTTGGAGTGGATAGGTAAGAATAGTAGCAACAGCTTTAGCAATTGCGCCTACAGCAAAATATTGTCTCTTTTTAAGGGTCTGAAAGTTTAAACATGAGTCTTAGAACAACCGCACAATATATTTTTACTAACTTGAGACAAAATGTTTAAGTAATGTACACCAATTGCCCTTTACAAGCGGAAAAAGCAATTTTTAACCACAAATCTGTTGTTTCACCTCACACATCTTCCCATGTGTCAATACTGTTCTGTTCTGTGTTCTCGGTTGAGCGAAGCAGCGAAATGTTCACCTGAATCTGTACCACCCACTATGCTTACTTTATAATGGTATTATAATAAGTTATCAAATGGGTCTTCAGTGTTATGGCGTGACTGGCTTACTCTAAACTCTCCAGGAGCGGAGCCACACGATCAATGTCACATGGTAGTACAAGGTTTTCATTAGAAAATGTTGCAGATGATTGATCTGAACTGAGTACGGGACTGAATTAATTATGCTTGCGTAGCAAAATTTCCGTGTTGCAAAGCAGCACGCCCTTCTAGGGGGTTCTCCGAAAAAATAGATATTATGAACTCGTTTGAGACATGATTTCTAGCATTCTCGGATAAATTAGAGTAACTTCTTTTTGCCAGACATTGACTTTAAAATCAGTTCAAAAAAATACATATTTCAGTTCTGTCTTAGACCACGATTCACACAAGAGGCAGTGCGAAATGGTCCGACAACCAGCGGGTTTCCGCCGCCTACAGGCTTCTAATAACAACCCTAGTGAAAACTCAATTTCAAAGAACAAAAAGACAATATAACTGATAGCCTTGTGCTTTCCCAAAGATGTAATCGACTGTGTACAATAAAAGAAAATGAAACTCTTTAAGGTCTTAAAGAAAATGTTTCAATAAGTCGTGTTGTCTGATCGTGTTGGTGACAGTGGCCGGAGTTTAAAGTTCTCATTCCCGACTACACCTTTATTGGTCTGCACAGTTTGATTTAAAATGCGTAGATACCTTGGCATTCAAGGTTTATTCTTTTTCCGGTTGCCGGCCGTTCGCATAAACGCTGACGTTCTCGTTTGACTGAAGTTTTGACAACCTTAGTGGAAGTCAATTAGCAAGTCAGTTTCGAAATAGTCACTGCGTAATCAAACAACGGATGATAACATACAAAATTTGCCTGAAAAGTAAGTCGAATTTTTGGATATACTTCAATGTAGAAAAAAGATACAATGTCACTGTACTTAAAGTGGACTGAAAAGGAAAAATTGTTTTGTTATCCGCCGAGTACTAAAAAGATGCGCCTCTCACTCAACGACACTCCACCTTGTTCTCTCGCCCTGTTTGCTTCTTTACTAACAGGAGTGCAAACCATACCTCGACTTTTACCCATACGTCCCCAATAAATAAAATATCACGATACGAAAATAGCAAAGATGACGTCACAGATGCACTGACCTTGTTATCTTCCGTCATCAAAAACTTCTTTATACCCTCGTACACCATAAACTGAATAGCTGGATTACCAGCTAAAACAAGAGATGGACCGGTACCACTCCAAAGAGACATTACTCCTTCTTCCTTACAAATCCTTTGCAATCCATCTGTAAACCAGCATACCCAAGTATCATTTGTGAGCATGCATATAAGTTCTTCTGGTCACTATTCTACAATTTTTATGTTGTTTGGGTAAAAGGCCATGTCAATACCAAGAACAAAGAATCATGTTCAGCAGGTATTAATTAAAAAGTAAAGAAATCAGTATCATTGCATTAAAAGGCAAGTGGTTTAGCACTTGGTCTTACAAAGACTGAAACAAACAAAATTATCATTCAATTAATCCACTAGACTCTCAAGTGAGCACAATGGCTGGTTTGCCAACAGCACTTGTACAAATGGCATTGAGTCAATAAGAAAATTAATCAGTCATCATTTGGTAGCTCGGTAAAAGCCAATGGAATTTTACCATCATTTAAAACTCTGTTCACTCAATACATTTTACATAACTTTATTGTTAACAGTGTTTGTACAGTTCATTAAAAATGCACTGCCGTGTGGATAAGTTTACCCTCTGCATCCCAATACTTGGGCATACAATTGTAGCAAATTATACTGCACTCACATCTCTATTGGTTTTGCATGGAAAGATTAAAAAGTATACAAAAGGCTTAGCCATACAACTTAAACATTTTCAATCCCAGCAATGATGTTATTTATATCTCACTAACATAGCCAACATATATATTCAATGCAGTGATACTCAAAACAAAGTGAAAAAGTTCTGCTTTCAAAACAACATTTTGCTATTTGTTTGCTTTGCCCATTAATGGCATTTTGTAACTTTATAATGCTGTCGCCTTCAGTAAACCACTTAGCGTAGACTATTAACAAAGTTAAAGTACTTACCAATAATTCCTTTGTATTTTATTGTTTTTGAACATTCAAGTTCCTTAGTCCTAAATTTTGCTCCTTGTAATTTTAAGCGAGTATTCACAACCCATAGGGGCGTTGTCATAAGAACATTTACAATCCCTGAAAAAGGAAAGCAGTGAATCTTAATATCACAATGGCAGTAGCCTGTAAACCACAAGTACCTTCTGGTTCACATTTATCTCCAAATAACAAAAGAGAGATAGTGAAACTCTGCTGGAACACCCTGGAAGAACTGTGCTGTATATAAATCCCAAACAGAGGAACAACACAATGACCAATACGTATGATGCACGATCCTCGCAGTAGAGAGCGCTATTTATGCAATAGTGAAAATCAGACCTGGAAAAAAATCAGACCTGTATGGGATTCTTTTTTTTTTCTTTCCATGTCTGATTTTCGCTATTGCATAAATAGCGCTCTCTACTGCAAGGATCGTGCATCATACATATCTAATACCGCAGTTCAAAATATATGAACTTCATATATTCATTGTACAATGACCAATGACTGACTGAGCCATAAAGCTGATAAAAAGCACATTTCAAGACAGATCAAGACTGTGTGAAAAAATTCTACAGATTGACTTGGTTCCATCAAAGTAAAGAGGATTGTGGGCTGATAGTTTCTAAAGAAACTGTTTGGGGCTGCATCGGTGGGGGTAACGAAATAATTTGAATATAATTATTAACAAAGATGGTAAATTGGCCTTTGTTATGATTATAAAAGCTGACGTTTCGAGCGTTAGCCCTTTGTCGGAGCGAATAGGGGAATTGTGGGTTCTGTGTGCTTTTAAAGGCAGAAAAAGGAGCTACGTGATTGGTGGGAACATGGCAACAAGAAAAACACGAATAAATTAGTGAAATGAAAAGCGTTCGTTGATACCTGTGGGATTTAGCTCATCTTTCAAAAAGCTCATCTTTCAAACCAGCAGTCTAAATCCCACAGGTATCAACGAACGCTTTTCATTCCACTAATTTATTTGTGTTTTTCTCATTGCCATGTTCCCACCAATCACGTAGCTCCTTTTCCTGCCTTTAAAAGCACACACAACCCACAATTCCCCTATTCGCTCCAACGAAGGGCTAACACTCAAAACGTCAGCTTTTATAATCGTACCATTTAAACTTTGTTGATATATTCAAATTAAAGAGGATTGTGTTAGCTTTGTCTGCTGAAACAATCCACCTCAAGTTTTCTTGATAAGCCTGTTTCATTGACTACATATTAAGATTCAAAATTTGTGTGTAGTTATTAATCTTGGAGAATACTTTAGGCAACCAGAACTGTTTAGGCTTTCAGAATCAACTTTTGATCAGCTATACCATGCATCCTATGACAGCAAGTGAAGATGAAGTTAGCAGGTGGGTCATGGATGTGTCTGAATGTTCCATTGATAGGGGACCAGGTTGAAACAAAAATCTGCAGCCAGAAATGCATTGGTACCAGTGGAGGAAACATTGAAAACTACTGGATAGTGTTCAGGATCAATTTCTTCCAGGTTTAACAGGAACCCTGCCCTTCAAAAGGATCTAGTGGCTTTAAGTGCACTTCACACAGTTGACAATCAAAAAAATGCAAAATGTAAAACTAATTATTAATAAATAAAGACTAATTAATTTTGGTTGAGTTAACATAGATTTCACAGAGAGACATGCTGTGTTTAAATAAGAGTTAGACTACAAGCAGACCCTCCTTTTTGGCACTTTTTTTTTTTTTTTTTCACTGTATGGACTGCTCAACTTCGAAAAACTTTTTTTGTTGTGATCTGTGCCAACCATTGTATTACTCCAGACACATCTTTCACCAGAAAAGAATAACTGCTGAAATGGCATTACCTGCTAAATATCCAAATAAAAGATCTTGCAGTGATGTAGAAGCTTCTCCTCTCCCCACAAATACTGCCTTAAGACCATTGAAGGTGTAAAAGTAAAGAAAATTGGAGCAGTAAAGGCTGGACAGGACTGGAAGGAGACCACGGTACAAAGAGTACCTGTAAACCATCCACACACACAATGTTTAGTATTTTATCATTTTTTTACTTTACTTTATTTTAATCATTTTCTCAACAAACTTAACACACATACAAAGCTGAGGGGAAGGCCAAGGAACAGGTTC